TCTTAAACCTTTGTGGGAAAAAACGCAAAAATACCAAATGGATTCGTCAAGCAGTGAGGATGATTTTTGCCCTCTCTCTTATTGAAAAGAGAAGAAAGAGAAAATATTACGTCCATCCAATCCTGAAATTGCGCCGAGAGGAAGGAGAGTTGGAGTTGCGAATTTATCCTGAGCGATTCAAAATTTACCTCAGAATGTCAGTGGGACGCTTTGCTAGCGATTCTGGAGCCACATATTAAAAACAAGACCACCAATTTTCGTGAACCAATCGATTCTGAACGGAGACTGGCAGTGTGTCTGGTATGGACCAGGTGTGGACACACACACGGACAAACACACACCCGCGCGCGGCCCGTTGGAAGCGCTGGGCAGACAGAACAGCTAGGCTGTTGTGTATATTGTGCCCAAATAATACATTAGTTATCGAATAGGCTGCTCAATCACACCTTATTCGATCCTAAATTTCAATCTGATTGAAAGGGGAGGTTTATAAATTTCATAATCCAATATAGAGAAGAGAACATAAACACTTGATCGAATTGAAAACCGAAACTGAAAGCACGGCGCATATGTTATGTGCAATGATTTGAGGACGAGCTCCCCCCGGCCCTGAATTGTCAAAAGACCTCTCAAAATGCTGGCTCTGGATGCGAAAAACGCAGAAAATCGAACCCGATCCGATTAATTTTATGACGGACGAAAGTTTCGGAGGCGGTGTGCAAGCGTGACTGACATAACGTGAGGTCGATTTTTTTTTTTAACGTGCGAAAATTTCGGATGCGAATTTCGGACTCGGTGTGCAATGGCCTTTACACTTACCCTGTAAACCTCCCCTTTTAATCAGATTGAAATTTAGGATCGAATAAGGTGTGATTGAGCAGCCTATTCGATAACTAATGTATTATTTGGGCACAATATACACAATAACAGCCTAGCTGTTCTGTCTGCCCAGCGCTTCCAACGGGCCGCGCGCGGGTGTGTGTTTGTCCGTGTGTGTGTGTCCACACCTGGTCCATACCAGACACACTGCCAGTCTCCGTTCAGAATCGATTGGTTCACGAAAATTGGTGGTCTTGTTTTTAATATGTGGCTCCAGAATTGCTAGCAAAGCGTCCCACTGACATTCTGAGGTAAATTTTGAATCGCTCAGGATAAATTCGCAACTCCAACTCTCCTTCCTCTCGGCGCAATTTCAGGATTGGATGGACGTAATATTTTCTCTTTCTTCTCTTTTCAATAAGAGAGAGGGCAAAAATCATCCTCACTGCTTGACGAATCCATTTGGTATTTTTGCGTTTTTTCCCGCAAAGGTTTAAGAAATACGCAACGGACTCGGTGTGCAAGGTTTCTATGCGTGACGAATTTTTAGGCTGACGAACATGAAAATACGCATACGAATATTTCGTGCTCAGTGTGCAATGGCCTTAACTCCTGCGGGCTGTAAATTAAAGTGGTGCTTGATACACCCTTGTTCTGCGTAGTTACAGGGTAAGTGTAACTCCTGCGGGCTGTAAATTAAAGGGGTGCTTGTTACCCCTTTATTACCCAAAACTTAACATATTGTTCCCTTATGGAAAGAAACTATATGAGGATATATGCGCATATATGAAACCTATATGCAGTTTATATGCACATATATGCTGCATATATACAGCATATATGCACATATATGATAATATATATGCTGCATATGTGTGTATATATGACACATATAGGCAATTTTAGGTGCATATATGCACATATATGATAAGATACATGCTGCATATGTGTGTATATATGACACATATAGGCAATTTTAGGTGCATATATGTGCATATACAGGCCATATCTCCTGCATTGCTTCTTTATATCCACACATAAGTGCTATATACAAGAGTATCCTATACTGTAGCTCATGGCAGGATCTGGTCATTTGTAGCTCATCCACTCCAAACAATGCTGGGTTGTTTGAACCAAATTTGGTGAAATATGGACAAACCCAAATGTTTGGTTAAAAATGTAATTCAAATTTTAACCCAAATTCAACTTTCACTTTCACTTTTTCAACTGTACATTTTTTTAATTGCATTTTTAACCCAACATTTGGGTTTGTCCATGTTTGACCCAAAGCATTTTTAGAGTGTATGTATATGTCACTGTAACCCACTCGAAAATAGCTTACTAGCAGTTCATTACATTTTTAGTTTAGTATCTGATTTCTTGATTGCTTTAGTTGTGTTTTCCCTGCACACCATATTCGTCCAGTAGGTGGCAGTGGTGGCACTGCATAGAGAGGAAAGCTGATACACCGACTCTCATAGAAGAAGACAGAAACCGCGAACAGCAGGACGATAGAGCTGAATCCCTCTTTCCATTTTGGAATAATAGTTAAAAGAAAAGAATATAACAGTTAAAAGTGTTTTTCCCACCAAACCTACTTCTAAGGCGGAAATAACAGAGCAAAGGGTCGAAATTACAACAAGTTTACCTACTTTTGTGATTTTTCTCCGGTGAGTGTTTTATACATGCTCGTCATTTGTGTTACTAGCAGACATGGCGTGATAGATACAATTAACGAGTTAAGCATGTAAAAGTTGTCTTTATTTTTTCTAGTTTGCTGTAACTCGGTTGTTTAATGCATTGTGTGAAAATGTATTGATGAGATATGTACTCTATAAGCTAAACAAAAACCAGTCGGAGTTGAACATGAGTTATTTCATGCTATGTTGAAGCCATGTTACCACGTGATATGCTAGTGCTTGAGTTTCATGAATGTAGTGAATGTATAAATTGAAAATAAGGATTTAAACTACTAGATTTCATGAATATGAGTTCTATTTCCAGAACAAGTTAATTTACAAATTATTGAGAGAATAATTGAATGTTGCCCTGCTATGCAGGTTGGTTTTTTTTTGGATGCATGCTTTGAGAGGGAGTTCCATTGGACGGATTCACCATCGGACACGTGAGGTAGAAGAGCAGAGGGCGCGAGGGATCATCTTGCCTGCATCACGAACTGCTTCTACTCATCTTTTCCGCATTGCATCGTGCAGATAAGAGATTCACTCCACTAAAAAAACAAAAAACACACTACCCGGGTAGATGGACTTTATTTTATTTTCTTTTTGAGATTTTTCAGAGCTCTGAGTTTTTTATTTCTTCTCAACTTGTGTAAGAGACAAACAAAAAGTTGAGAACTAAGAGAAACACTGATTTTCACAACTAAAAGGACATTACACAGAAAAGATAAACAAGGTCATACTGGTTGATGTTTGATGTTCAATAAATGCCAGCTATATGTTCTGAGTAAACTATTTGGTGCTTTCATTTGTCTACTCCTCCTGTGAAAAGTTCCTTAGAAAGGTAGCACTTCACTTTACATTATAATAAGTGACCCTTACATCACTATATTGCTCAAATAAATAAATAAATATTTATATACATATCAGAATGACTTAGTGGAAAAGAAGGAAATGTATAACAAAAGGGTTTGTTGTTTTTTCATTTTACCAAAAAGCCCTTTTTCCAATTTCAAGTCACTTTCCCATACACATCCACACATTCACCGATACATCCACAAATGCAATGCAAATTGCAATGTTTTCTGTATTGTCTGAATGCAGTTTTTTTTCTGGCTGAAAGGTCATTACAGTCAAATGTAGCAAAAAAAAAAAAAAAAAGTGAATAGAACGTACATTCAAATAATCATCATCATCCCACCATCTATCTGAGCAATTCACAGTGGTTAATAAATTCGAATGCTGCTGCACTGCCGATTGGCCGCTAAGCGCCCGTAGTTGATGACGTCACCCGCCTAACGCGTGACGTTAT